GAATGGGGAACTCTTCTTGTGAAATATTTCTGGACTTTCTCAACTGTATTAATATCAGATTTGCTGATCTTTATGATCCGTTTCCTCCAATCATTATGTTGTTTCCACCAGTTCAAGTGCTGTTTGATAGTTAGAACAATCAATCAGTGGAACAACTTGCCTCCAGAAGTTGTAAATGCTCCAACACTGGAAGTTTTTAAAAAGATGCTGGATAACCATTTGTCTAAAGTGATGTAGGGTTCCCTGCCTAGGCAGGGGGTTGGACTAGAAGACCTCCAAGGTGCCTTCCAACTCAGTTATTCTATTCTAAGTCCGAAATCCTAAAGGTGTAGTTTAATAAATGAAGCTCTCGTTCAGCTTCCCACACTGCCTTCTTTCCAACAGATATTTATTTCACTCAGTCTCCATTTCTTCCAAAACCAAGTCATTTATCCAAATGGGCCAATTCCAGTGTTTACTCAATACGTAATAATCCAAAATATTTCCCACGTTCTTTAAATCTGTAGTTTTAGCCTTTTAGCCTAGTATTCCCCATGTTAAATTTTCAGGAGTCTAGGTCTCACTTTTCCTTTGGTCAGTAGATGGTGATCTCAACTTAGTTTTCAGCTTAAGGCTCTTTAAAATTCTTTTTCGCAGCTTATGGAGTTATTTTTAGAGTCTCTTCTAGGATTTCCCCCCTTCCTCTCCCTCAGGGTAACTTTTAAAATAAGAATTATCTCACCCAGTGACATAGTCTCTGTTCACCAACTTTGCTCCAGTGCTATTCTTAGATGTTCCACGGCTGTCCCAACTTCATGGCAGTCATCTTGGGCAACTCTTCTCTTTGTCTTGGCGTAGAGGAAAAAGCTCGGACTCAACAGAAGTTTGCAATCTCTCCTGTGGCCTCACAGAGCGCCCTTCCTTAGCTCTGCCTCCCCTTCAGGGCGGTTTAGGCTCCTATTGGAGTCCACAAAAAGGGAGAAGGCAGAGCAGGAATGGAGAGGTCCATTTCGCTGCATCTTGGTATCGTAGCGACCTCAGATGGACTTTTTTCCTCCCCCTTTTCCTTCCCATCCTCCTGCATTCTCTCCTTTCCTTTTCCTTGCTCCCCCTTCCCTCCCCATCCCCTGTTTTTGCAGGAAACCAAGCCATTGAGCGCTGACCTCAAACTGGGGCCATGAAACTCCTAGCTAGGTGCTTTGGGCATCCTCGGACGCCTTGGGTGTTCCTTCACCAAGCAAAGAGATGTCTGGCTTCTTTGATCCCCTCCTATTACGAAGCGGTGAATCGGGGTGACCAGGAAGTGCCCGAGTACTTCAACTTTGCAAGTGATGTGGTGGACAAATGGATGCAAGAGGAAAAGGTAACATTTTGGGCTCCTCTTGGGAGGGAAAGGACCACAACTAGATAGGGCATGGAGTTATTGTTGGAAGCATTGATGAAAGCTTTGATGTCCTCTGGGGCAGGGATCTCCAACCTTGGCAACTGTAAGACTTGTGGACTTCAACTTCCAGAATTCTTCAGCCAGCAAAGCTGACTGAAGGAATTCTGGGAGTTAAAGTCCACAAGTCTTAAAGTTGCCAAGGTTGGGGACTCCTGCTCTGGGCGGGGGGGGATCACAGAGGGGAGGATGTGCCAGTTTCTTTACTTCCTGGTGAGTTGTTTTTTTCTTTAGCAGTTGACCATGAGATCTTGTTTGGATTAGGACAGGTTTTCAGCTACCCCTCCTTGAATTTTAACTTCTTGGGTTTCCCACTAGGATGGAAAGAGAGCTCACCACCCAGCCTTCTGGTGGGTCAACAGTCAGAACAAAGAGGTGAAGTGGAGCTTTAAGGAGCTAGCTTTCTTGTCCCGAAAAGCTGCCAATGTCCTCTCTGGTCCATGTGGCTTGCAAAGAAGGGACAAAGTTCTGATCGTTATGCCCCGCATTCCAGAGTGGTGGCTACTCGTTCTGGCTTGTATGCGAACAGGTTAGTAAATGTTATAGCTAAGGGTTGTCTTCCTAAGAATGCCAGTGGACATTCCAAAGAAGTGTCCCAGGGGACAGTCTTCCTAAGAGTGCTGGTGGACATTCCTAAGAGGTGTCCTGGTGGACACCCTTCCTAAGAGTGCCAATGGACATACCTAAGAGGTATCCCAGGGGACACTCTTCCTAAAAATGTCAAAGAATATTCTATCTACCTCCCACGTATTCTGTAGGGTAGGATAGGATGAGCAACATTGGGAAGCTCAAATTCATAAACTTAGCAATGAGGGATTTGCAACTATGTTTTTCTGTATCACTGTTTCCCAACCCGGGAAAGGCCCAGTCACCTAGATACATTAGACCAAACTCTCATCCTCTTTGGTCAATGTGGCCATGTTGGAAAACCCATCGAAAGGAGCTGGCACCAGATAGAGGAACCCTACATTAACTTCACTTTATCTATGAAATGGACCTTTCATAATGGTTTCTCTGATTGCTTTCTTCCCTTCTTCTTTCCTAGGGATTATTTTTATTCCTGGAACCCCTCAGTTAACAGCTAAAGACATTTCCTATAGAATTCAAGTTTCCAAAGCCAAAGGCATTGTTGTGGCCGAACAGTCTGTTGATGCAGTGGATTCAATCATAGCTGAATGCAAATTTCTGAAAACCAAGCTTGTTGTGTCCGATAAAGGCAGAGCTGGCTGGCTGAAATTCAGTGACTTATTACAGTACGTAGTCCAATAAAAGTTAGAACTACATCACCATCTACTGCGTTGGAGTATTATTTTTATTGGACCATATAAAAAGCCAGTTTGCTCTGGTGGTTAGGGCACCAGGCTAGAAAGTGGGAGACTGGGAGTTGTAGTCCTGCCTTAGCCATGAAAGCCAACTGGGTGACGTTGGGCCAGTCATCAGAAGATGGTGAGTTACAGTCCTGCCTTAGGCATGAAAGTCAACTGGGTGACTTTGGATCAATCACCAGGAGACTGGGAGTTCTAGTCCTGCCTTAGGCATGAAAGTAAGCTGGGTGACCTTGGGCTTTCTTCTCATCCCAACTCACTTCACTGGGTTGTTGTGGGGAAAATCAGAGAAGGAATGAGTCATGTGTGTGTCCACCACCTTGAGTTATTTATATCATTACATAATGAAGGCGGGGTATAAATTAAATAAAAATAAATCAGAAGCAAGGTTGGTTGTTTTAACAAGCAAGTGTTCCACATTCCTTAAGTTCTAGTCATAAATATCTGCATTGCATTCTTGACTAAAATGCTCTGAATTTCTTGGAAGAAATGCTGATGCTGCCTTCTGGATGTGGAAAAAGTCCCCGAAACTCCACTTGTGGATAAATCCCAATTGTAAAAGAAAACCTGCCAGCCACCTGTCCCAAAATGTCCCTTTCCACTCTAATTGTACATCAAGACCAACCTGCTTGTTTTCCAGAGCAGCCTCTGGTGACCACGACTGTGTCAAGTCGCGAAGTGAAGAGTTAATGCTGATCTACTTTACGAGCGGAAGCACCGGGTCGCCCAAAATGGTGGAGCATTGCCACAGTTATGGCATTGGATTTACATCCAGCAGCAGGTAATACCATGGCATGCTTTTGAATCCCTGGGTTATTTATTTAGTGATTGACTTGACTTGACTTGACTTGACTTTTGACTTGACTTGACTTGACTTGACTTGACTTTTGAATTGACTTGACTTGACTTGACTTGACTTTTGACTTGACTTTTGACTTGACTTGACTTTTGACTTGACTTGACTTGACTTTTGACTTGACTTGACTTTTGACTTTTGACTTTTGACTTGAACTGCACTGATGTGAATTGAATTGAATTGTTGCCTCACATCTCACTTCAAGGTGACTCTGGGCGGCTTACAGCATTACAGGTAATCCTCGACTTATGACCACAATTGAGCCCAGAATTTACGTTGCTAACTGAGCAATTTGTTAAGTGAGTTTTGCCCCATTGTATGACTTTTCTTGACACATTCATGAAGTGAATCACTGCAGTTGTTAAGTTAGTCACACAGTTGTTAAGTGAATCCGGCTTCCCCATTGCCTTGGTTTGTCAGAAGGTCGCAAAAGGGGATCACGTGACCCTGGGACATTGCAAAACAAAATGAAAAAAATTGGGTGTGACTCACTTAACCATCGCCTTGCTGAACCACATGAACGTTGAGGTCTCAATGGTGGTCGTAATTCGAGGACTTCCTACACATTTTTTTTCCGAGCAGGCACTGGATGAATCTATCTTCTTCAACTGTGTTCTGGAATACCTCAGATCCAGGATGGGTGAAAACAGCTTGGAGCAGCTTATTTGGCCCATGGATCCATGGGTCATGTGTCTTTGTACATCATCTACCCCAGTTTGAACCAGCAGTCATATTAAATGTAAGCATGTCCATTTGTATTTCAAGTGAACTGGAAGTAGTGTATATAGACATAATAGGAACCAGGCACCCCAAAGGTGCTTTTTCAGGAGGCAACTGGACTTTCTTTGAAGAGGTTTCGCTTCTCCCCCAAGAAGTTTCTTCAGTTCTGTCAGGACAGTGAGGAATGGAAGGATTTACATCTCTTGCAGACAGCTGGTCATTTACTTTATTTTATTGTCATTGCACCTCGTACAACGAAATTAAATACCATCTTCAGTGTACAATTTATGACTATGAAAATAAACACAAACACACATCCTTCACATTCTATACATTGAATTGAAAACCCCCGACAGAGCACCAACATTGCAATATACAGTAGAATTCAACTGAGCTACTGCCCTAGGATAGAAGCTGTTTTTCAGCCTATTTGTCCTTGTTTTTATTATTCTGCACCGTCTGCCAGATGGTAATAGTTCAAAAAAAGGGTGCCCAGGGTTGAGATGGATCTTTGAGGATGTTTTGAACTTTCTTACGGCAGCGGGGGCTATAAAGCTCTTCCAAAGAGGGAAGAGGGCAACCCATGATCCTCTGGCAATGACATTAACCCTCTGGAGTGCTGTCCTATCTGCCACTGTGCAGAGAAGATTATTCTCAATGGGAAAATTGGCAAAGAACATACTGAAATACTTATAGAGACCCTACATAGTAGAAGGCATCTAAATAAAAGACAAGGACCTCACCATTTTGATCCCAGCTTACTAGAAATGTTCTCTTCATTGTTCCTGCTTTGATTTTGTGTACTTCACTCAGTTTGAGAAGGTTCACATCACCTATTAAAAAAGAGCTAGATAATTTATGGTTCAGCAGGTTGTAGAAATGCAAGCATTGTCTAAGTATCTTGGGTGAACCAGCCAAAATTAGAAGAGAATGTTTATAGCTCAGGGTTGAATTGTGGGGTCCTTAGGGGTGTCTGAACTTGGTGGTTTCCTTGCAGATGTTTCATTACTCAGCTAGGTAACATCATCAGTGTTTGAAGAGAGCGGGGTTTGTGGAGTGGGGAAGAAGGAGACGGAGGAGGAAGATGAGGAAAAGGAGAAGGAGGACTATGGGATCCTTGGTGCTCTCTGAGCTTGGTTGTTTTCTTGCAGACGTTTTATTACTAAACTAGGTAACACCATCAGTGCTAGACTTACCTAGTTTGGTAATGAAATGTCTGCAAGAAAACAACCAAGCTCAGAGAGCACCAAGGACCCCTCAGGCCAACATTGTTGGATGTAAAATTTTAAACAGATGCAGCAACTGTTTCTAAACTTTACTTTAAGATTTAGCATGTTCTAGGGACTCAGCCCTGCCTCTCTTAAACTTCAGGCCAGATCATTTCCATCTTACAAAAATCATCTTGTTTGCATATTATTTTGACTGCATACACATTTTCTTCACATTGTTTGCATATTCATTTTCTCCATCTAGACCCTGACGAAGTATCCAATCACAACTTTATGCACCGCTCCTACTGCATTTAGGATGATGGTTCAGCACAATGCCACCAGGTACTTTTTTTGCCACAAAATATGAAACACGAGGGCTAGAAGGTCAACATGAAAATGGGAAGTCTGGAAATTTAATGGAATTGTCTAGGGTGCCTTTGCTCTGTTGCTATTACTAGGAAGTTGTGAATTTTTTTCATCAATTTCTCAATATGATTTCCTAAGATTGCCTCCTTGCACAACTGAATGTGTTCCCATGTAGTGTATATTTCTTTGCGTCATTGTTGGACCCCTTTTATCTGAGATTTCAAAGCCAGATAAATAGGCAATACAGGTAGTCCTTGACTTAAAACCATTCATTTAGTGACCATTCGAAATTACAACTGCACTGAAAAAAAGTGACTTGTGACCATAGTTCACACTTACAAACCTTTCCAGCATCCCCATGATGGTGTGATCAAAATTCAGATACTCGGCAACAGGTTCATACTTATGACCGTGGCTGGGTCCCATGGTCACGTGATCCAAATTCAGACACTTAGTAACTGACTCATATTTATTTTACTATTTATTTGATTTATTTGATTTGTCAATAGGTATAAGAATAAACATGAGTATGAATACAGGAAATAGGTACGAATAAATGGGGACAATAGGACAGGGATGGGAAGCATGATAGTGCACTTATGCACACCCCTTACAGACCTCTTAGGAATGGGGTCAATAGTGGTTAGTTTGAGGTTAAAGGAGTGGGGGTTAGAG